TTTGTATATATATATATATATGTATTAATATTTTTATAAAAAAAAAATTTTTAAAGAGAATTTAAAACAACATTTTTCCATATAAAAATAAATACTTTTTATTATGTTAATTGTAATTTTAATATTTTCATGATATTTATCAACTACTACTTTTGTTTTATAAAATACTTACTGAGCTTAATTAAAAATATATTTAAAATTATATTTTTGTTCGAAATTTAACAGAATTTCATTTTTTATTATTTTCATTTTTCTTCTTATGTGATTATTTACATTATTTTGTTTGTATGTATTTTATTGTTCAACACATAAAATCAAATGTATTTCATTTTTTATGAATTAAAAATATATAAATTATAAAATAAATATAATAATAATTAATTAAAAATCTAGGATATTTAGTAATTTGTAAAAAGATATATAGATGACCAATGAAATACTCATATATATATTATTCTAAATAAATAAAAATTGTCATAAAATTATTTATTAACAGTACATGAATTATTAAAAGAAGATATAAATTATTTATAAATCTAAGAAATATAGTAAACATTTTTGAGATGTATATTTATGAATATTATTATGATTGTTACTTAAATGAATATTATTAATTATATAATAATAATTATAAACTTATGAAAGTAACTTTCAACAAACAATCTCCATTTCAAAATAAAATTGAAATAAAAAGGAAAAAATATTAAAATTTCCAAGATTGTGCATACGCATATATATATATATATACATTCTTTTTTATTTAAAAATTTTAAAAAACATAAATAAAAGTAGCTGTTGTTATATATCTTTTTTTTTTTATTTTTTTTTCATCAATTTATCATATATTACTTAATTTTTTACTATTTTATAACTTTTATTTTTTATTAAAATGGGGAAAAAAAATAAAGAAGATTTATATAAAGAAAATAAATTAGAAGCATCAAAGTTAAGAATAGCAATTGTAAGTAATGATAAATGTAAACCAAAAAAATGCCATCTAGAATGCAAAAAAAACTGTCCTATCGTAAAAACAGGAAAATTTTGTATAGAAGTTGAGCATAGTTCTAAAATTGCGTATATTAGTGAAACATTATGTATAGGATGTGGTATATGTGTTAAGAAATGTCCGTTTTCTGCTATTACTATTATTAATTTACCAAAAGACATTAATAAAGATGTTGTACATAGATATGGTCCTAATACCTTTAAATTGCATAGATTACCTATACCTAAGTTAGGTCAAATTTTAGGTTTAGTAGGAACGAATGGTATTGGAAAATCAACCGCATTAAAAATTTTGTCTTCTAAGTTAAAGCCAAATTTAGGAAAATTTAATAATCCACCAGAATGGAGAGATATATTATCCTTTTTTAGAGGTAATGAATTGCAAATTTTTTTTACGAAACTGTTAGAAGAAAAATTATCACCTATTATCAAACCGCAAAATGTAGATCTTATACCCAAACAAATAAAAGGAAATATATTAGATATTATTAAAAAAAAAGATAAATTAAATCAAAAGGATAAATATATTAGTGAATTAGATCTAGAACATTTATTAGATAGAAATGTGGAAGATTTAAGTGGAGGAGAACTACAAAGATTTGCTTTATTGATTTCTATTATTGGTCAATCAACAAATGTATATATGTTTGATGAACCGAGTAGTTATCTGGATATTAAGCAAAGAATATCAATGGCAAAAATTATTCATAAATTAGTAAAACATGATAATTATATTATTGTAGTAGAACATGATTTATCTATTCTAGACTATTTAAGTGATTATGTTTGTTGTCTATGGGGGAAAGCAGGTGCATATGGGGTTGTAACATGCCCCTTTTCAGTTAGAGAAGGAATAAATATATTCCTGGATGGTTTTGTTCCTACTGATAATTTAAGAATTCGTGAGGAATCATTAAATTTTAAACTAGCAACGGATCAAGATGCTACAGATGAAGAAAAAAAAAGATTACATTTTTATAATTATCCTTCCATTGTAAAAACATTAAATTCTTTTACATTAACAATTGAAAAAGGAATTTTTTCAGAGTCTGAAATTTTCGTTTTGTTGGGACAAAATGGTAGTGGTAAAAGTACTTTTATAAGATTGTTTGCAGGATTAATTAAACCTGATAATTTAGAAAGTCTAAGCTTTTTAGAATCACTAAGTGTTTCTTATAAACCACAACAAATACAAGCAAAATTTACAGGAACTGTTAGGCAATTGCTGATGTCTAAATTAAAAGGATTATATACAGATCCATATTTTAATAATGAAATTATAAAACCATTAAAAATTGATTCAATTTTAGATAATCAAGTTTTAACATTGTCAGGTGGAGAATTACAAAAAGTAGCAATTATTGTTACACTAGCTAAAAATACTAATATCTACCTAATTGATGAACCATCTGCTTATTTAGATTCAGAACAAAGAATAATTGTATCTAAAATTATTAAAAGATTTATACTTAATACTAATAAAACTGCTTTTATAGTAGAACATGATTTTATTATGGCAACTTATTTAGCTGACCACGTAATAGTTTTTGATGGGCAAGCAGGGGTGAATACTGTGGCTAATACTCCTCAAACTTTAACTGCTGGTATGAATAAATTTTTAAAAATTATTGATGTAACATTTAGAAGAGACCCAACCAATTATAGGCCAAGAATAAATAAATATGATAGTGTTAAAGATAAAGAGCAAAAATTAAATGGTATGTTAAAAATTAATATATATATCATATATTTTCATTTTATATATATATATATACTAATTTTATTCAATTGTAGACAAAATTGTTAAAGTGAATATATTTTATTTTATAAAATTTTACTTTAAATTACATTTATATTAATTATTCCTATTTCACTTAATTGAACTATATTATTTAAATTTATATTTTGTTATAATATATATTGAATACAATACATTATATTTATGTTATATTTTTTTTTCAGGAACATATTTTATTATTGACGAATAAATAAAATTTAAGCTTTTATACCAAATACAAGACTATAATATGTACTTTTGTTAGAATTTTTTTATTATAACATTTTTTTTTTTTTTAACAAAGCTTTTTTAATTTAAAAAAAAAAAAAAAAAAAATGACAATTCAGGAGATTTTATTAAACTTTTTTTTTTTTTTTTTTTTTTTAATAATAAAATCATATATTTTTTAAATATTAATAGATTTTTAATTTATATCATTAATATTTAGCTACACTGTTAAATTTTATTTTTTGTTTATTTTTCTTTTACACATTACATTTCTTATTTTTATTTTAATTATATTCTTAAATATTTTTTTATAATTTATATCTTTAGTACAACTTTTTTAATTTTATCTTTTTTGGTTAAATATTTTAATTATTAGTGTTATTCTTTTTTTTTTTTTTTTTTTTAATGTGTGCACTTTAAATCACACAACATTTGAAAAAAAAGTTTTAAAAAAAAAGGAGAAAAGTATGATTAATTGCTGATATATATTAAAATATTTGTGTTATCTTTATTTAGATAAAAATAAACTTTTAGCCTTATTGCCTATTTTTAATTTAAGTATGCCATATTTAAAAAGTTTTATTTTAAAAAAATTAACAAAAAAAAAAAAAAATAAATAAATAAAAATAAATTAATTGAAAGTATCATATTTTAAATTAAAATATGTATTTATTTCTTAATGAATATTTAAATTTTAATATAATTATAATATTTTTATTATTTTCTTAAAGTGCTGTTAAGATTATATTCTTTAACTAATATGAATATTTAATTATAATAAGTTATAATAATTTTTAATTAGAAGTATAAATAAAAAATTCATAGAAATAATAATAGGAAAAAAAAAAAAATTATTAATATTTATTTATATACATACAACTGAAATTTTTCTTTAATTTTTTTCAAAAGATATATATATATATATATCTATAAAAAAATCCTTTTTTTCTCATATTTGCTTTATAGATATATGTTTATTTAATTTGTTATGTTGCGCATTTTCTATTTTTTTTTTTTTTTTTTTTTTTTTTTCTTTTTTTAAAGTTTAATTAAAAAATAATATAAGATTGTTTTCTTTTTTTAAATAAATTATAAATCGATATAATTTATAATGTTTTATAGTTTTTTTGTATAAATGCAAAATAACACATTTATTTTAAGGCATACTTTTTCTAAATAAAAGCATATAAATATATATATATATTAATAAATATACCTATATAATAATATATATCTTTATTAAGTTAAATGGCTGGGATTCCTTCTTCATTACGTGAATTATTTTATTCTTTTTCTGACGGAAATGGAATGAACAATGAAACATTAGCTGATACAAGTGAACAAGTTTATATTTCTCCTTTGGCTCTTTTAAAAATTTTGAAGCATGGACGAGTAATAACATTATATATTAGAATAAGTATTATTGTTTTAGTGAAACACTTAATTTTAATAAAGAATAATAAAAAAGAAATTATAAAAAGATAAAATATTCTACAATGTTATAATAGCACTAATTTTTTAATTGTTACTAAAAAAAAAAAAAAAAAAAATATACAATTTTTATTATTAAAAAAAATGAAAACAAAAATTTAATTAAATCAATTACATTAAAAATTATATTTGCATAAATACAAATTCTATTTTTTTTTTTTTTTTTTTTTTTTTAAGGCTGGAGTTCCAATGGAAGTTATGGGATTGATGCTGGGTGAAATTGTTGATGAATATACAATAAGAATTGTTGATGTTTTTGCAATGCCACAATCAGGTAACAGTGTAAGTGTTGAAGCAGTTGATCCTGTATATCAAACAAATATGTTAGAAGAATTAAAAAAAACGGGAAGACATGAAATGGTTGTTGGATGGTATCATTCTCATCCAGGTTTTGGTTGTTGGTTATCAGGAACTGATGTTAATACTCAAAAAAGTTTTGAACAATTAAATCCAAGAACCATTGGAGTAGTTGTTGATCCAATCCAATCAGTTAAGGGAAAAGTTGTAATTGATTGTTTTCGCTTAATCAATCCACATATTTTAATGCTAGGACAAGAACCAAGACAAACAACTTCTAATATAGGTTATCTAACGAAACCCACATTAACAGCTTTAGTTCACGGATTAAACAGAAATTATTATTCCATTGTTATTAATTATAGAAAGAACGAATTAGAAAAAAATATGCTTTTAAACTTACATAAAGATATTTGGGCCAAACCTTTAAAGTTACTCGATTTCTTTGAACAAAAAAAAGATTCAGATGATATGTTAGAAAGTATCAAAAAATTAACAAACCTATATAATAAAAGTGTTAGAAATGAAATGAAAAAAACTAATGAAGAAATTCTTCTAGAAAATATTGGAAAAATTGATGCTAAAAAAAGAATACAAAACTCCGTTGAAACATTATTAAACGATTCTATCCTTACATGCATAGGTAATTTCAAAATAATTAAAAACGTCTTTAATATCTATATGTATATAAAAATTAATTTATTTTCCTTTAAATTATATGAGTTTACACATATTAAGAAAACTAATATTATTACTATTATGTTATTTCGTATTATAATATTTTATATTTTTTTTTTTTTTTTTAGGTACAATGGCAAATACGCTATTTTTTTAAGAGCTGTAATTTTTAAATTTTACCGTTACAAGAAAATAATAAAAATTTTTTTTTGTAAATGACTTATATCTTAATGAAAAAAAAAAAATATATATATATATATATATATATATTTAGATTAAAAATAAATTTTATTTCCTTTAGAAATTAATTCTTGTTATGTAAAAAAAATAAAAATAATTTTGTTTGTTCATACAATATTTACTTTTATTTTCCCTTAAAAAAAAATTTTAATATAAACTAAATTAATGAATAAATAATAAAAATAGAATTATTATTTATTTATACAAGTTTTTTTTTGAAATTTTTTATTTTATATTAAAAACTTTTTTTTTTTTTTTTCTTTCCATTAAATATAATAAGTGTATTTTATATTATTTTTAAAATATATAATATGTAAGTTTTTTTCAGATGTATTTTAATAAATTTGTTAAAAATTAATATTAAAAAATTTTTAATTTTTGCAACATTTCCACTTAATTCCTCCATTTTTCTCTGTATTTCCTGTAAAAATGCTAAAAGCAACAAAAAAAAAAATTTTTTTTTTATTATTTCATTATTCTAAAAGAAAAAAATAAAAGTAAAATAGGTATTTTTTTAGTTTATTTTATAAGGATATTTAAATTAATATAAATTAATAAAAATTTTTTCATATTTAATTTTTTAAGATATAAATATTTTATTTTTTTGAATAATTTTCTTTAATAGCATTTCAATGAACTTAATTCTTCTATGTCAAAAAATGAAAATTAGACAATCTTTTTGAAGTATTTTAAAAGCAATTGATAACTTTTTTTTTTTTCTTTCTTTTTATTATATATTTATTGACATTTTTTTCTTTCTCAAATAAGATATAATTCTATTAAAAATAAATATAAATACATTTTTTATAATATAAAAAGTAATATTTTTTTTGTTATTTTTAGAAAAAAACATTAATATATATACTTGTATATATATATATATTAGTTTTTTTTTTCATTTAATTTTTTCGTATTTTTTCGTCTTTACTTTTTTTTATTTTAATCAATGCTTCAAAAAGTTTTTTTTTCATCTTTATGTTTGTTCTTATTACAACTAAAATGTAAGTTAATTATTTAATAAATAAATATTCATCATCTTATAACTAATTTAATTTATTCTTATGTAACATATCATTTTAGATGTATTATGTTATAATATAAAATGCTCTTCCTTAACAAATAATGAAGAAATATTATCTTACTGTAAAAATAATTCAGAGTGTTATGTGAAAAATGTAAATGATTCAGAGTATTCATCAATTGAATGTAAATGCAGAAAGCAAATAAATGATTTTTTTTTTGCTGGACCCGATTGTTCAATAAGTAAATTATATTTTACATTATTATGAATTGTATTGGTGTGTTACATTGTATTTTTCCTTTCTTTTTTTTCTTCAGAGATTCCTTATCATTATAAAACAACAAGTATTAAATTAAATTATTAAAATACAAAAATGTCAAGATACTAAAATTTTATTTTTTTTTTTAATGATAGAAAATAACGGAGTGTATAATACTACTTGGTTAGAGGACTTATTTAATCTAAATATTTGGAAAAATGAGGAAAATAGAGTAGGTAGAATTTGTGTTAACCCACAATGTAGTTAGGTTTTGTTTTGTTTTTTTTTAAATTTTATCTATTAATTTTAAAAAAAAAAAAAATAAAAGCACATTTTAATGAAATTTAAGTAGCATAAAAGAATATATATATATCATAAATAAAAGAACAAAGAAAATATATTATCTTGAAAGATCATTAAAAAATAACAAATAAATAATTTAAAAAAAAAAAAATAAGATCTAAATGAAAAATATTAAATTAAAAACTTTTAAAAATACTCAAAAAAAATCAATTAATATATCTTGAAATTATAAATTACTAACGAAAATGGGTATATATATATATATTGGTAAAATGAATTATATTTGAAAATAAAGATTAAGAAGACATATGATAATATATACATATGTGAATATATTTTTATGTATCTAACATTTCTTCTTGAATAATTTGTTCATACTCTTGTAATAATTTATTTTTTATATTTCTTGCAACTTTTATATATTCTTTCTGAGCTGGTTTTAATAATAAATCTAAATCTTTATTAATGAGAGAATAAATATTTTTTTTGTTTTTACGAATATTTTTTAATGTTTTCTTTTCATATTCATAAAATTCATCTAACTTTCTTTCTTCTTGAGCAATACTTGAAACATCTTCTTCATTTATTTCATCAATATCTTTAAGGTTATTTTCTTTTTTAACTTCATCTGTTATATCCTTTAACACATTCAATTGATTTAGTACAACGCTATTTTGACCATTAGAAGAATCTAATTCATCATTATTGAAATCTTTACTTTCTTCATTTATTCTTACTTTTATTGAATTATTTTCATCTTTTTTTAGGCTAGCATAATGTCCATTTTTGTAATCAACATTATTTTCATTACCGTCATCATCTTCATTTTCATCTTCACCTCCATCTACATTTTCATCTTCATTTTCACCTCCATCTTCGTCTTCATCTTCATTCTCATCTTCATCTTCATTTTGTAATTTACTTTCTATATTTAAAAGAGACATTTTATCTAATGATTTATTCATGCTTCTTTCTTTCCTTGTGAGATTTTTCATAGTATTTCGTAGCTTACTATTATGGTTTTTTTTTTTATAATAATTTCTGGTACCCTTCTCATTATTTCCATTTACAGAAAGTTTAACCTTTTTATTGTCATTATTATTATTTTTTAAACTATTTACATTAACAGTTAAATTATCCATTTTATTTGTGTATTTATTAATGAATGTACTTGAAGTAGGTTGTATTTCTTGATTTTTATTTTTTTTAAATGTGTGTGCTGATCGTAAATACTCCTTGTTTATTTTCTCTATACTTTCACAAAAATTGAAAAAATATTTATCTAAAAAAAAAAACATAATTTTTTCCTTTATTTTATCTTCGTTTATAACAAACTCATTACTGCCACTTTCATCCAATGAAATACTGTCATATTTCGTTTTAACATCTTTTCTATCATCTCCATTTTCAGAATTTGCAGTGTTACTTTTATTAATTTGAGAATCTTCAATAATATTTTCATATTCAAAATATACATTGTCATTTTTATTATTATGAGAATTCTTAGTGATACTTCCACCTTCAAAATCTTCAATGTCATTTTCAGAACCTCTAATATTTATGACTTCGTATTCTTTAAGTAAATCATTTTCTCTCTCTGTTGTGTAATTTTTTTTTTTTATAAATTGTAACTTTTTTTTTTCACTTTTATGACTTTGTTCATTAAAATTTATACCTAAAATTTCTTTTACTATATCATATGCAAATACTTTATAATTATCATCTAAAAGTTCTATATATTTTACTAAAGAATTATCATTTATTTCCTTATTTAATTTAAAATATATATTATTAGTATAATCCAAAATTTCACTAAGTTTATATTTTTTTTTTAAATTCATTTTATTTTTTATTTTAATTAAGTATTTATAATGACGCAAAATATTAAAAAATGTACTTTTATCAATATTGTCAATTTTATATTGTACATACGTATAACTAGTTTTCAAGTTTTTTTTTACATAAATGCAACTTTTTGTCTTTTTATTTAATTTGTCCTTTAAAACATTTTTTATTGAACAATTATAATTTAAAAAACCTTTACTTATATACAAAGAATCTCCAAAAAGAACTTTCTTAATATATTGCAAAGTAGCATTTTCAGGAATGAAATTATATACTATATCCTTAAAAAAATTTCTAGGATAATTTATATATTTTGAATTCCCATAACGTTTTTTTGTTTTATTTATCATGGTTTGAGGAGTTTTATTTTTGAAGTATAGTTCTTTCATTACTGATTCTAACATTTTAATTTCATCGTCATTTTTTCTGCATGAAAATTCGTAATTATTTAACTTTTTAAGAACATGTAAAGGCAATGATTTTAAATTTGCTTCTTTAAAAGTATTATAGAGAATATGTCTATAACTTTTTAACATTCTTTTCTTGTTGTTTTTGTTACTTTTTCCCATTTCATAATTAACTAATTTATTATGAATTGTATATATTTCAATAAAATTTCCATCTTTAATAAAATATCTCACAATATGATTAAGAGATCTTTTTTTGTTATTCATATAAACCCATTTTATAATATTATCATTTTCTGATGCAATTTTATGAAGAAAAAGCATAAAAGTCAATAAAAAATAACTTACATATATATGCATCCTTTAAAATTAGATAAAAATATATAATTAGAATTAATGTTATAAATGTAGAAATAAAACCTTTCTAAAAAAAAAGAGTTTTATTCAAACTAAAGGTTTACAGAACTACAATTGAATTATTCCAATATATTTAGAAGAAATGTGTTATGTAATTTTCAAATTAACATAATAACAAACAAATATAAAAATATATTAAAACAAATAAATAAAATATAAAAAACAAAAATACACAAATAAAATAAAACAAAAAAATAAATAAAATAATAATAAATATAAAAAAAAAAAAGTAAAGTTAAAAATACAAACAAAAGAACAAAATGAAGTAAAAGTCTAAAATGTTGTCTACAAAAATCAAGTTTAAAACGTCTTTATGTATATTATTTTAATAAGTTGTAAGAAAAAATATATAAAAATATTACAGAAAAAAAAAGTAAAAGATTTTTTTTTCTTCGTATCTGAATATAGGAAGGTCAATTTTAATTTATCTCTTAAATAATTACACTAATATTTTTAAAATATGCTGTATTAAAAAAAATGGTAATTTTACATGTTTTTCAAAATCGTTACTCTAAAAAAGTACATAAATTATATTTTTTTTTTAGCTATATGGAAAAAATATATATTGTGTGAACGATATTATTCTATATTGTACATATTTTTTTTTTTTTTTTAAAGATAGCTACGAAGTAATAATATAGCATATTGAATATTAAAAAATAAGATATTATTTTGATGCATTTATTTTTTTACATAAATATAAACATAAATGCAAAAAGAACTTTTTTTCCAACAAAATTACAAATAAAACTTTAAATATAACCCTATTTTTGTGTTCATATATGCCTTCGTTATTGAAATTAAATATGTAACTATATACTTTTTATTGTTAATATTTTAAATATTTAATTTAAAAACTTGTTCCAAACTAAATTTTATTACAAACTATGCAATTTGAGCAATAAAAACGTTTCTTTAAAAAAAAAAAAAATGTAATTGCTTAATTTTTTTTTCATTATAATATCTGTCTTCATTTATAAGTTCATAAGATAAATAATTTATGAAAAAAAAATCTTATTAAATAAATCTATATATTAATTCATATATCGATGTTATTATTTATCATTTAGTTTTCAAACAAATTAAACCGGATATTCAAAATAAAAATTTGTAAAACTAAAAAAAATTACAAGATAAATAAGACAAGTATATATTTATTTAATTACAAATAAGAATATTGAAATATTTATTATATTTTGTTATTTAACTAAGATTTCATATAGACACTAAAGTCAAAAAAATATATACAAAATACATATAAAAGAACTATATGCTTCAGTATATTTGAAAAAAATAAACTTTTTTTATTTTTTAATATAATTATTTTTTGTTTGTTCTTTTTGCTCTTTTAAAATATGGTAAATAACATCAAATTTTCATTATTTTAAATATCAAGAAATATACAAATGAACACTAAATAAAAAAGACAGGAAAAGTAAAAATATAAATTTATTTATATTTTAAATGATTTATACTCATAAAATTTATTACATAAAAAAAAAAAATGCATCATTTATTAATACCTTATTTGGTTTAAATCAAAAATAAGAATTTTTCATAAAATGAAATTGTTTTTATCATATAAACTATTTATCAAAAAAAAAAAAAAAAAAAATGAAGAAAGAAATACAAGAAAAATTAAACTAATAAAACTAAAAAATGAAAAATATTAAAAATAAAAAATAAAGAAAAGTAGTATAAATTAAAAAATTAAATTATGAAAACTTTTAAATCAATGAAAAAATATTAAAAATGATAATACACAAATGGGTTATTTCTTTTTTTAAATGTCATCTTAAAGCAGAGTTTATTAATAAATACCAAACATCATTGATCATAATTCTATAAAAATCTGCTTTAAAATATCATTTTATATTTACTCCTTATCCTTTTCATTTAATTTTTCAAACTCATCAAATTCAGCAATTATTTTTTTGTCCGAAGGAACGGGAGTTTTTAATTCTTCCTTTATTTTATTTTCCATTTTTTTCAGTTTTTTGTATCCTTTATTAATTTTTTTCATTTCCTTTTTTATTTTCTCCTTATTTAAAGAATTTTTGTTTGATTCAGAAGATACACTTAATAAGGAAATTTTTTCGTTTGAGCCTTTTTTCCCTAATGAACTTGTAGAATTTTTTTTTGAATTAGATTTTGTTTTTAACATTTTTTTTTTATTCTTTTGACCTTTACTAAATGTATTTTTCTTTTTATTAACAGCTGCTTTTTTGTTATTTCTTAAAATATTGGAAGAGTTTACTGATTCTTTGTTAACTTTATCAACACTTTTTTTTGCTACTTTTTTAGAGTTATCAACTTTTTTTTTTGTTTCTTTTTTAGCTGCCTTTGCACCTCGTTTTACTTCTTTTTTAACTTTATCGGTACCTTTTTTTGCTTCCTTTTTAACTTTACTAACGACCTTTTTGCTTTTATTAACCCCTTTTTTAACTTTACCAACTATCTTGTTTGCTTTATCTAATAATTTACCAACATTAAATTTTTTATTTATAGTTTTCGAAATAGTATCTGAAGCTTTATCTATTAACTTATTGGCACCTTTTTTTGCTAAACTTTTCAATATACTTTTTTCTCCAATTTCTTCTTCATTGTCATTATCATCATCGTCATCGTCATCGTCATCGTCATTATCATTATCTATATCATTTTCATCATCATCATCGTCATCATTATCATCATCATTATCATCATCATCATCATCGTCATCATCATTATAGTCATCATCATTATAGTCATCATCATCATCGTCATCATCATCATCATCATCGTCATTATCATCATCATCATCATCATCATCATCATCATTATATTCATAATCTATTTCATTGTTTTTTGTTTCCTCTAACAATTCATTGAATACTTGAGCTTTTTTTAAGTTAACTGGATTAGTACGCAAATATGATAAATCTAGAGTATCATTTGTTTTGTTATGTATTAAATTGGCATTAGAATTATATTCACTATTTATCTTATAATAGTCATTAAAATTTGAATTACTCATTGGTGAATCTGAATTTATAGAAATAGCATTTTCATTATTTGAATTTTTTTCTTCTACTTTTTCTCCTTCTTCTTTAATCATTTTTTTCTCTTCTATTTCATCTTCTTCCTCTTCTTCTTTTTCTTCCTCATTATTCTCTTCTTTTTCTACTTCATTATTCTCTTCTTTTTCTACTTCATTATTATCTTCTTTTTCTTCTTCTTCATCCTCTTTTTCTCTTTCTCTTTTAATTTTTATGCTGTCTGTATCCTTTGAAATATCTAGATCTTTATTTAAAATTATTTCGCTTTTTATAACTAATTTAAAAAAAGATTCACACTTCTTTACATTCTCTGTGTCATAACTGTTTTCCTCTTTCGATATTTCACTTAATAAATTATCATGTAGATGATTTTTAATACTCACATTTCTGGAGGAATTTTCTTCTTTATCATATTCATTAACAATTAAAGAATGAAGCACATCATTTTTTTTTAATAAATTATAACAATAAAAAGTTTTCTCAATTGAATTTATAAAAATATTATCATCAGTTTTATCAGGAATACTCTTATTATCATCCTCCTTATTTGTTCTATTTAAAGATGTTATTTTTTTTTTCTCTTTAATAAAAGAATTTTTTAAATTTCTTAACATTTCGTAAAGGTAATATTTTTCTATTTGAGAATTATTCCCCCAAATGTCATCTGTTTTATTATCATATGAATGTAAATTATTTTTTTCCTTTAATAATTTATGTTTAAGGGAAAAAGGTATATTTATTTCATCACTTTTACTGTCTATGTAATTAATAATTTCATCAATAGCATCAATATATTCTGAATTATTAAATTCATTAACATTATTATTTTTTAGTTCAACATTTGATATAATGGAATCATTGTACTCCACTGAGTTATCCATTTGTTTGTATTCTCCATCGAGTATGGATTCAGCATCGCTAATTTCCTCATCTGGTAAAAAGGACATATAATTTGGTGCCTTATCTAGACCTTTAAATAATTCACTTCTACTGTTTTCATTTAGTTTTTCTAAATTTATATTGAATGTATATTTCATATAGCAGTATGTTGTTGATCCATCTCTTGAATTTCTTTGGTATACTTTACGTAGCATATGAATATCATTTTCCATAGATTCTTCAGATGAAATGACTTTCATATTATTTTCTTCATCTTTATTGTCTTCATCATTTATATCACTATGTGCTTCTTCATTATCTGTTTCACTGTTGGCTTCATTAAATGTTTCGTTCAACTTTTCTAATCTCACTACTTTTTTTTTTTGTAATGGATTTAAACTTTTTATTTTGTCTATTTCTTTTACAACAAAGGCTCTTTCTAAAACATTTTCTTTTATTCTTTCAAAAACTTTTATATTAATTTTTCTTCCATTTTGGACTATATTTTTTTCTTTCCTTAAGTGGTCAAACGATAATAACAAATCTTTATCAACTAACTCTATTTTTAAGTTAATTTTTTTGTCATGAAAATGTTCACAATTCAAAATAGGAAGGAAAAAAAACAAAAAGCAAAAAAATGAAAAAAGTATTTTTAAATTTCCCATTGCAACTTTTTATCTTTGAATAATTAAAAAAATGAAATGAAAAAAAAAATAAAATATGTATTATAAAAAACAACCTAGAACAAGTTAAAGAAGAACATAATTTTAATAAATAAAAAAAGTGGTAAAAAATGTGTTACAACTTGTTCATCACTATGGTGTATAGTTGAATGTTTATACCCTTATTGTAGTATTAAAGAAAATTATTTTTTTTTGAAAATAAATCTTTAAAGTTATTTTTTTAACATTTTTTTTTTTTCAGAATAGATATTTAAAATTTTAAAGTGTACATAAAAATAACATTGAAAATTTTTTTTTCTGAATAATTAAAAAATGTATGGACAAGTTTTTCTCAAAGCTAAAATTAGACAAGTGAATTTGTAGCTAGATATTTATTTATATGACATGTTAATACAAATTTGTTTTCTTATTGTTCTATTGGTTAATATATTAGAAAAAAGTAGCCATAATTTTTTATATTTTCTATAAAAAAAATATATGAATGATACAGAATATTATTTTTTTTAAAAAATATCATCTAAATTCGACACTTAGCTTGCAAGCATGGTATTATATATTCAAACAAAAAATGTAGTAGCTAATAGTTATCAAAGTACTATATTGAACTATGAACTATTTATATGTAAAAATTTTGGCATAAATAATAAAGTTTATTCCTACTTAAATAAATATATTAAAATATTCTCTTTTTATTATATAAAGATTTAGTGTAATTTATAAAGTTATATCTTTATTAAAAACCTTGGATTACAGTTAATGAAAAAAAAAAATATATTTTTTAAGAATAAATTATAGAGTATTATGTTTTTGTTTAATTAAATGAATAGTCAATAAAAAAATAAATTGTTTTACTTAACTATTCAACCATATGTTTTAATGTTTTTAAAAAAAATATTTATATAAATAAAAAATTTAATTTTTTATGTTGTTATTCTAGACAAATATGAAAAAAAAAAAAAAAAAAAAAAAATAGATATATTAATAAAAATAAATAAAATGGAAATATATATTGTGTATTTTTTATATAAATAAAAATAAAATATTTACATATGTAATTTTTTTAAATATACCAATTTAAATATTTTCAATAGTTGTATTATTTTAAATATTTTGCTCCTATATTATGCTCATGGAAAGAAACTATAAGGATATCAAAAAATAAAAGATGTTCTTAAAGCTATGAATTATATTCTTTTATTTTTTTCTTTATAGTATTTTATTCATTTTTTTATCATAAAGTAATAGACAAAATATATTATTTAAGCATTTTGTTGTTTTATAATATCTTTGGGCAACAATACTTATTCTCCTATTTTTTCATTATTTTTGTAGTAAAATTTTATGAAAAACAGGATTTTCCATTTATAAACTACTGTTAAATGCTATTTTTAGAAAAATAACATGTTGGTTTAAATAACACCTGTTAATTTTCCTTACATTTTTAAAATTTTTGAAAAAGAAATGTTTCCTTATATGAAGAAAAAAATAGTAATATTTGTGATTTTTCTTTTTAATATTTTTTTGTTATATAATTGAGGGAAAAAAATAAATAGTGGCATTTTTTAGTTACTTCTAAAAGCATTATTATATTTAAATTAAATGTTAAAATATGTTTCTATATTTGTTATTACTAAAGTATTTTTAAATAGGTTAAAACTTTAATTAAATGGAAAATATAAAACATTTAAATTTTACAATAATCAAAAATATATAAAATCTGTATAAAATATTGACAACATATTTATATTATTAAAAAAAAAATAATTTCGTTTGTATATCATAATCTTTTATTACAAAGCTTCAATAAATACTTTCATGTATGTTTTTTCTGTTTGTTTGTTGATCAAAACATAATATGAAAAAATAGAAATAAATTAAAATTCATAAAAAGTAAAATGATAACAAAATAAATAAATTATATATTAATAGTAAAAATAAAATATAATAACTATAATATAAATAATTTGGAAAAAAAAAAAAAATAAAATAATAATAAATATATTATAAAAAAAAAGTATACTTCGATATAAAAACTTAATAATTTTATATAAATATGTCATAATATAATATATAATGGTAATTTATGTATTAATCAAAAATTAGTAATACTGCTTAAAAGTTTCCTCTACAAATTTTTTTAGATCAAACCCTTTATCTTTTCCTGTTGACCCAAAAGCCTTTTTTTTATTTCCTCCTGAATGCCCCCCTACTAATTTCATTATTTCATTCATAAATATATCTGCTTGTATATTTTTATTTTTTAAAGAATCTCTTATTTCAAAAACACAATATGTATTGTTTTCATCACAAATAATAAAAAAATAACTTAAATCTTTATTGTTTTTAGTGTACGATTGAACAATCTTCTCCAAAACTTTTTGATTTCCCTTTATATTATTAAAAAAATTAACATCTAACAAATTGTTATGTTTGTTTTCTAATGAATATAATTTCCCAATACTCATAGCTTTGTTGTATAATTCTTTTTGCATATTTTTTGCTTTTTCAATAATACTTTTTTCTATTTTTTCAAGATCTTGTAATATGTAATTTTTTTTAATATATGGCAAAAATTTATCTTCTTTTAAAATTCTTTTATAATTTTGTAAATCTGTTAATTTATCATTTGGTTCCTCAAAAATATTTTTATATTTAATATATAAATTATTAAATTTATTTTCCACTTCTTCAGCTTTTTTATTAGTTACTGCTGTAATCCTATATATACCTTTTCCTATGCTTTCTTCTGATGTAATAATAAATTTTTTTATATACTTAGTATTTGCAATATGCGTTCCTCCACATAATTCTATAGAACATAAATAGGTATAATTTACATCTAAATTATTTAAAATTTTATTTACATCTTTATCTATAAAAACAACATTTACTTTATCTGCATAATCTTCTTCAAATATAGCTCTAATACCTTTTATTTTTCTGCTTTCAGTTAAATCCATATTTTTAACAGAAACATTTAATTCTTCTTTTATTAAATTATTTATTTCTTCTTCTATTTTACTTATTAATTCAATATTTATATTTCCAAAAAAGGAAAAATCAAATCTTAGTTTTTCTTCATCTACTAAAGAGCCCTTCTGTTCACAACTAAAAATGGAACAAGAGTCATCGTCTTTACTGATACTACATCCTTCATCGTTAGTAATTCCATTTTTTTGATTACTGCATTTTATATTTTCTTCTTTTGTAAAGATGTTTTCTTCTTTATCTTTAAAATTTTCATTTTGCATATTTTCACTGTTTTTTATAGTTATGTGATCATTTAAAACTTTTCTTATAGTAAAATTTAGTAAGTGAGTAGCTGTGTGATTACAAGCTATAAGTTTTCTTCTTTGAAAATCTACTACTGTTTCCACTTCATCCTTTGCATGAATGCTTCCTTCTAGTAATATACCAATATGTAGTATATAGTCATTAATTTTTTGAACATTTAAAACCTGGAACTTCATCTTACAATTTTGAATAAATCCAATATCGTATATTTGTCCTCCATTTTCGTAGTAGAAATTTGTTTCTTTTAAAATTAAAGCATATTTTTTATCATTACTTGTAAAAGATATATTATCTAAAAAATTTGCTCCATCATATATAATTTGAACGGAAGATTTTAATTTAAAATCATTTTCTATTTCATTATTATTCCATTTATATTTATGATCGTCAATGGTAGCAGATATGTTATATTTTTTTTTCAATTCATGTGATTTTTCCACAGGTATATCAAAAAATTTAGTTATTTTAAAATTATTAGTATCTGAAACTAACTGATGCTTTTTAAATAAATTATTAAATTCTTCTATATTTAGTTTAAAATTCTTTTCTTCGCACATTATTTCTATTAAATCTACTGGAAACCCGTAAGATGTATACAAATCAAAAGCATCTTTTCCACTAAATGAGTTGTTACTACTTTTTTTAATAATCTTATGGAATTGATCTACTCCTTTTTCTAAAGTTTTATTGAATAGTATTTCTTCCTGTTTGATAGCATTTTTTATATAATTTACTTTTTTTTCATTTTTCAAGTCCTTAAAAGAGTTCCCTAATGTTTGACAAACAGAGTCTACTAATTTATAAAACCATAAAACATTACTTTTAATATTAAAAACTTGCTTTCCAAATCTTATAGCTCTTCTTATGATCCTTCGGATAACATAGTTTCTTCCTTCGTTACTTGGAAGACATCCATCACATATGGCAATAGTGACACATCTAATATGATCACTTATAACTCTATAAGCAGTATCAATTTTATCAACATCTTCTTCATTTATTTTTCCTTCATAATCTGGAAGATAATTAAATATTTCTTTTATTTGTTTAAAAATTGGTTGAAATAGATCCGTATCATAATTACTATTAACATTTTGTAAAATAGAGGTGATTCTTTCTAATCCCATTCCTGTATCAATACAAGGGAAAGGTAATTTATTCATATTTTTATTTTCATCTTTATTATATTGCATAAAAACTATATTCCATATTTCTAAAACACTTGGGTCATCTTTATTAACTAAATTTGATGCATCTCTATTCCCAATCCTATCATAATGAATTTCAGAACATGGACCACATGGTCCCGTTTCTGCCATTTCCCAAAAATTTTCTTTAATTCCAAATGGTAAAATACGACTTTCATCTAAATATTTTGTCCATATTTTTTTTGTTTCTTTATCTTCTGGACATGCAGGTAAATTTGGATCTCCTCCATAATATGTTACATATAATCTATCTGGATTTATTTTATAAATATTAGTTAATAAATCCCAAGCATATTCAATACTTTCTTCTTTAAAATAATCCCCAAAACTCCAGTTACCTAACATTTCAAAAAATGTATGATGATATACATCTTTACCTACATCATCTAAATCATTATGTTTTCCACCTGCTCTTATGCATTTCTGTGTATCAACTGCTCGTTTAAGTTTTCCTAAATCACTATTTTTATCTACATTCCCTAAAAATATCTTTTTAAATTGATTCATGCCTGCATTAGTGAACAATAAAGTGTTGTCATTGTAAGGCACTACTGAAGAACTTTCTACTATAGTATGATTTTTTTCATTAAAATATTTTATAAAATTATTTCTAACTTCTTCTGAAGACATATATCTAGGATTCCCATTTTTCGTATTTTCTTCGTTACATCTTCTATTCATATTATTCAAAGAATAATTGTTTCCTTCATTTTCTTCATCATACCTTTTATCAAAGTTATTCATGCTACAAATATTTTTCATCATATATGATTTTGCTCCCAACTTACTTTCTATTAATCTATATGTTTTAAAACTGTTTTTAACATATAGAGAATTTATGTAATTCAAATTTTTTATATATAAATGTTTTTTAATCTTTGTGAAATCAGTAATTCGTACTTTTTTGTTAATACCTTTAAAAATCATAAAGAATTTTTTTTCTTTTTTATCTAAAGGAAACAGGTTATTTACATTCAATAAGACATTTATATCAAATAAATTATTTTTTTTTGATATAAAAGGAAAACTATATGTCTTTTCTACTTTTTGTTTTATTAAATTTTTTTTTTTTCTACTTTTTAAAAAAAATATTCTATTTTTATATTTTTCTGATAAATTGTTTACTTCATTAAGAGTTTTTATATTTCTGCAAATTCCTAAGATGAGTTTTTCTTTATTAGATACAAATAAGTATAATAAATAAAAAAATAAAAAAGTCATATATTTATCTAACAAAAATTATATATAAGATAAATCATTGTATATAATTATATATATGAAAATCACTGCCAATTCAAGTAATATAAAAAAATATATCTATAAGAAATTGCAATTAATGAAAAAATATATTTCTATAATAAACAAAAAGTAAAAAGTTTGCCAATATATTCAAAGTAATTTAATATTGGTGGGTCATTATATTCTTAAAAATAATACTTATAAATTTATAATATTCCCTTAATTACAAAAAAAAAAAAAAAAATAAAATAAAATAAAATAAAATGTAATGAATTATTTAAAACAATGAAATTAGTCTTTGAAATTTATATAATTCGTAAAACTCTGTTTTTGCTAATAGTATTATAATTTGCTTTTTTTAATTAATTTAATTTTATATAATAATAATAATATCAACAAATGTTTTTTAAATAAATATTATCATGTAAAAATGTAAAAATGTAAAAACGTTCATTACTTAAATTTATAACATAGATAAATTCTTTTTTTTTTTAAACTGTTATATGAGTATAAAAAAACTTCAGAGTATTTTTATAAAGAAATACAAATAAAAAAAAAAAAAAAAAAAAAAAAAAAAAAAAAAAAAAAAAAAATAATGATATTATAAAAGAAAATTATATAATAAAAATATATTATATTGCAATAATTTAAATTATAAATATTTTGTATTTAATGTAATAGTTAAGTAAAAAAAGTATAAAACATTTTATTTTTATGTAGATAAAAAATTAGTTATTTTTTCCTCCTCTTTTTTTATTAATTTTATTATCACTGGATTATAATTTGAACATATAAAAAAGATGCCTAAATCAAAGAGAAATGTAACAATATCGTTGACAAAAGTAAAGAAGAAATTGAATAAAAAGGAGAAGAAAGATTTAAAACTTACAGAATTAAAAAAGTTTATTGAAATTCCAAACATTTATATATATGTTTTAGATATAAGAACATATTCAAACAATAACTTGAAAAAAGTTATAGAACATTTTAAACCTAATGGAAAGTAAGAAAAAATAAAAAATGATCCTGTTTTATGTATATTTTAATGTTTTTTAATAGAAAGAAAAGAATTTTTACAAAAAAAAAAAAAAAAAAAAATATTTTATTTTTAAATTAAAAATTTGTGCATATATATATAAAAAAAAATAAAAGACTTTTAAATTAGTTCATAAATTATATTTTAGTATATACTAATATATATATATATATATATTTATATATATAAATCTACTAAAATTATATTACAAAAAAATTTTATTTTTTTATTTTAAATAATAGATTTTTCTTTGGAAAAAATAAATTAATGAGATTAGCTCTGGGAACCAATCAAGAAAATGAAGTAAAACCAAACATATATAAAATATCTGAGGTATGTCAATTTTTTAATTCACTATTTTATAACAATTTTTATTTCTTAATTTTTTTTTTTTTTTTGTCCTATATATATATATATATATGTACGTGTTACATAAATTATTTTGTATTTTTTACCTTAAATGAATATTTCTTTTTTTTTTTTTTTTTTTGCAGTTATTAGTAGGAAATAAGATGCTTTTAATAACTAAAGATACACCTTTAAAAGTTATAAAATTTTTTAATGAATTTCAACCAGAAGAATATATAACGCATGGGAATATATCTCCACAGAACGTTACATTAAAACAAGGAGAAGTATTAAATGTTCCTGTGTCTATGCAGAAAGATTTACAAAAAAGAAAATTAAATTTTGATATAATTGATCAGAAAATTATTTTAAGAGAAAATAAGGTATTAGCAGAAAAGGATAAAATTATAAATATAGAAAATGCTAAAATATTAAGAATGTTAAATATGAAAATAGCAAAGTTTGATATTTCTGTGTTAGGGTATTGGCACCCAAACAATTTTGTTTCGTTAATGCAAGAATAAGTATTAACAAAAATAAACTTATTTGTTTAAAATTTTTTTTTTTTTTAAACTGTTCTTTTTGTTTTATTAAGGATATTTCTCTATTCATAATTTATTTTCTTAATTTTTTTTTTTTTATATATATATGAAATTATTAAATTTAAAAATAATTAATTTATAATATTTTAAAAAATTTTTAATTTTAGTTTCATATCTTTAAATGGTATTTATTATTTTGTTTGAAAACAATTTAAATATAATTATTAATTAAGAAAAAATTTTAAGGCATTTTCATTTTAAAAAATTATTAAAAAAAAAAAAAAATGAAAATATATAAAATACAAAAAAATATTTTATTTTTATGATTAACAAATATAAGTAATTTATAATTTTTTAATTCTTTTATTTAATTTTTTTTTTTTTTATTTTAAAGAGTTATAATATTTTCTAATTGATTTAGATCTTTTAGCATTTTTTGAAGAAAAGTAGTCATAGGTGGAGGACCACATAATAGAATTAGTGTGTCTTCATTTTCAATTTTTATATCTAACTTCTGATACTTTAAAACATATTTTTTTAATAATTCTTCATTTATAAATCCAATGTGTTCAAATGTATTTTTTTTTGTTTCATCTAAGCATTTGTCTATACTATAAACTATTTTAATGTTTTCATATTTTCTTTCATATTCATCAAAGACTGTAAGAGAAAAAATAAGAAATATATATATATATATATATATATTTATATATTTATATATATTTATATATGTTTATATATATTTATATATTTATATATATTTATATATTTACATATTTGTTTTTAAAATTAAGTATATTCATTTTAATAATTATTAATCAAAATAAAATATATGTCTATAAAAAAAAAAAAAAAAAAAAGCTTACTTGACTTTAGTAAAATTTCTTCTTCATTTCTATTTGCATAAATAAATGTCATATAAATTATATTGCTATGTTCTTTATTTTCTGTTAAAAGTAGATGATTAATTAATCGAAAAAAAGGTGTCATACCGGTACCACCAGCAATCATAATTATATGTTTTTTATTTTTTATAGTTTTTGATAAATGTACAAATTCATTATTTCCTTTATATTCTAATAAACCAAAAGGACCTGTTATTTCTAATTTGTCATTATATTTTAAATTGTTTAATTGCATACTCATTTTTCCACCATCTACATAATTATCATCTGGATAATATATTCGAATAACAAAATGAACATGCTTATTTTTTTTATCTATATATATAGGTGTATAACTTCTAAATATTTGCTTCAAATCTTTTTCTTTATCATCATTATTATTCCATTTCCCTTTTATTTTACCTTCTTTATTTAACCCACTAAATTTTATATGTTTACATATACCTAAACCTAAATATTCATATTCATTAGGATAAGAAAAAATAAAAATTTTTACTGTTTTTGTTAATTTTATAATCTTATGTAATTTTAAAATTTGTTTTTTTTTATTTAAAAACACATTTGTTTTTTCATTTTTATCATCTAATTCTTCATAAGCATGTTTTTCTGAATATATGTGAAATAAGTTTTTTGCACAATCCTTCTTTCTAAAAAAACTTAAAAATGCTATCGACATAGATATAATTATCAGACTAATAAAATTTGCAATTAATAAATTAATGTTTCCCATTAATACAAATTCTATATATATATATATTTTTTTTTTTTTTCTGAATAATCTTTCAAATATATAAAATAATTAGTGATTAATTTATATATCATAAACTTTTTTTTTTTTAATTAAAATAATATTTTTTTTTGTTGTAAATATTTGCTTAGTAGTATTATATATTTTCCTGTTTTTCATAACATGCCATTATTTGCCTTTTTAATTTTAAGTACATATGTATTTTATTTTACTTCATTTTTAATAAAAGAAAATATACATTCTATAAAAATATTATTTATAAAAAAAAAAAAAAAAAAAAAAAAAAAAATTAATATACTGATTATTTAGTTACAGAACTTTTTTTTTTTTTTTGTTAAATGATTCAAATTCTTGTTTTTAATTGTTGAACGATTATTACCTTATATATTTTATTTTTTTAAAACTATAATATAATATTTTTTTAAAAGTTTAATTTGTTTTTGAAATATGTAAAAGAAAAACAATTAAATTTTTTCTGTAAATTATTGATTTTTTTTTTTTTTTTTTTTTATAAAATAAATACATTTATTAATGATCTTCAATATAATACTGACAAAATTATATACACATTTTTTAACAAAATATAAAAAAGGAAAGGTTTGTCGTATAAAAATATTTATCTAATAAATCTTCTCTTTTTAAAAATATGTTAATATTCCAAAAAAAGTTAAAACAGAAAAAATTTAATGAAATATAGAAAAAAAAAAAAAAAAAAAAATATTGACAACATATAGAATAAAATATATAAAAAGAGTAAATACATGTATAATATTTTCTTTATGTCTATTATTAAAAATAAATTGAATATACTTTTACAAAAGTTAAAATGTTCAATTTTTTATCAGAAGAATTAGACAATTAAAAAGTAGAAAAAACACTTTAATCTAGTGAAATTAAAATAATATTTTTGTAACAAAAAAATTTACCCTATAAATTATACATTTAAATTAAACAAAATTGTTTATTTTTATCACACAACATACATATCTAAAAATTAAAATAAAAAAAAATTGTGTAATTATATCAAGTATTACCTAAAAAATATATTTTTTTTTTTTTTAAAATTATAATTTTTTAAAAATAAAAATTTAATTTTGTTAATATTTTGTTAATTATTGTTTTTAATAAAAAATGTTAAAGAAATTAATTATTTACTAATTTTTCCTAATGTTTTCATTATATTCGCATGAAAATACTATAATTCATAAATTAAAATTGTTGATACTTTTTTATTTCCAACCATGTGTTCTATTCATATTTATGCATATTAACTATTAAATAATATTAGCTCACATTATTATATTATATATAGAGTATAATTTTTTAGATTAACTCATATTATTTTAATATATATATATATATATATATATATATATATATATATATATATACTTTTTTTTTTTAATTATTTATTAATATTTTCCTCTTAAATCTATATTTTTTAAAACATAACTATAACATTCTTATATTTTTTATATAGTGATATTTTTCATTTTATTTTTATTTACTTTTTCAATCGTAATACATTTATCTCTTTTCTTTAATATCCTATTAATGTAAAATTTATGAATTAAAAATTAAAGAAAGATAACAACTTAATTCATGCATATCATAATATTTTATATAAAAAATTTATGTTTTAATTTCTTTCAAGTATTAAAAACTTATAATTTTTTATGATACATTTAACTATATTAAAAATACTTTGTGGGTTTAAATAATATATATATTACTTTTAATATTCATAAAAAAAAAAAGAAATTTTTTATTATTTTGTTGAATTCCTTTTTTAAATATTATACTACTACTCTTAATTCATTATAATGGAGGATACAAAAATAAGAATTAATTTAAAATAAATAAATTAAAAAAAGGAAAATTCATTTTTCAAAAAAAGAATCTTTTAGATTATACAACTTAATCTTTATGATAATGTTGCATTATTTTTTAAAGAACAAGTATTTTAAAGAATAGAAAAAGAATAATATTTTTCATTTTTCAATTTTTTTAAAATTTGTTACCTATAAAAAAAAATTGAACAAACAAATTACAAAACATGAATCAAATATAAAAATTTTTAAACATTTTTTTTATTTTGAGCTTGAATATTTTTTTTATATTTAATATAAAAATTAAAAAAATAAACTTCAGATAAAAAAAGTGAAGAGTATGTTGATATAAATATATATTAATGCTATCTATTTTGTAGACCTTTATAAATAATTTCATAAAAGTAAAAATGTCATACTTTTTTTCTTAAAAAAGGGAACATTATATATAATTTAATATTTTATTATAGTATGTTGAAATTTTATTAAGGTTTAATACAATCAAAAATAATATCTATAATACCATAATATTAATATTTAAAATTAAATTTTAAGTTTTAAAAATGTTAATTATTAGTAACACCAATTCATAAACATCAATAAAATTAAAGAATAATTTATTCATAATTTAATAAATATAAATAGAAATAACATAATTTAATTAAATGTTAATAAATTTAAAACAAATATTTAATTATATATAAATAAAAATATATATGCAAAATGTAAATATTTTTAGAAAAAATTAAAAGACTTATTATGGATTTTAAAATGAAAAAAAAAAAAAAAAAATAAAATAAAAACGTATATATCTTTTTTTAATATATTTATTCTATATATAAAAAAAAAAAAAAAAAGTTTATGTTCTACATTTTTTTTTTTTTTAATACTTCTTCTATTTTTTCCTTTTCTTTTTTTCTTTTTCTTTTTTTTTTTTTAGAATTTTGAATAAAATCAGAAATTACATTCATAAATTCTTTGTCTTCATCTATATTTTTCATCCTTTTATTATCGTTATTTTTATTTTTTAATGTAACGCAACTATTATTTAAATAATCATTATCATTATCATTATCTTTATCTTTAATATTTATTATCTGCTCTTTATATATGTCATCTTTACTATTATCTTTGCTTTCATTAACCTTTTCTTTTTTTTTTTTTTTTTTCTTTTCCTTATCCTTTTTCTTTTTTTTGTCTAGAAGTTTAGGATAATTTGAATCTCCCATTATTTCTGCGTTAACATTATTTTCAACACTTTTTTCTGAATTAAAATAATCAAAATTATTTTCTTTCTTAGACTTTTTTACTTTTAAATTATTTATTAATTTTGATTCTGAGTTACTATTTTCATCTATATATTCAGTATTCATATCGATGCTTTCATTATTATTCTCTTTATTTTCTTTTTTCTCAATCTGATTATTTTCTATTCCTTTCTTTTCTTTTGAGATTAATATATCTTCAAATAATTTTTTTGCTTTCAGATATTTTTTGTTATTTGTGTTAATAGTTTTAGTTTTTTTATATTCTTTCAGCTTCATAAAATTTTTTATATAATTGTTATATATGTTTAAGTCATTTTCTATTAATTCATCTAATATCCTCTTTTTAATATCATTAGTTCCTAATTTAAAAAATGTAACTATTGTATGAGCTCCAATGTAATGACTTGCAATATTCTTATATTCATCTTTAAATAACAAAATAAAGGTTCTTAGATATTTTTCATTTATCAAATTAAAAGTTTGTGCTATTTTTTCACAAAGTATTGATAAATTTTTATCACATGAAAAGTATAATAAAATATTACCTCGTAGTTCTGCATTTTTTCTCAAAAATGGTTTTATTTTTTTCTGATTATGTATATTATGCTTATCATTGAAATTATTATTATTTATGTTATAATTATTTTGATTATTATTATTTTGACTATTATTATTTAATTTCTCATAATTCATATTAACTTCTTTACTAGATTTAGTATTTTCAAAATTATCTATATTATTATCAGGTTCATTTTTATGAAGAAATGTTTCACAAAATTTATTATAATTATCAATATCAGTTTCATTAGGTTTATTTTCACTAACATTCTTTAAAAAATTACAAAAATGTTTAAAGGAATTTATTAATGGTATATATGATTCTTTAGGAAAAGAAAGAATATAAGATAATATATAATATCCATTTATATCAATTTTAATATAATTATAAAAATTGTAGTTATTTAAATTCAAATATTTATCACTATTATTGAAACTTGAATCATTTTTAAGAATATCACAATCATTATCCTTTACATGATTTTCATTAAATGTTTCATTCTCTTTTTTATTAAAAACATCAATAATTAGCGGATTCAACTCATTATAATTACACATACATAAGATAGATATCCACATAAATTTGTTATTATTATTAAAATCTAAATTGAGATTTTTAATTAATGAATTAAATAAAAACTTACAATTAGTTTTATAACATTGAGATAAATCAAATAAACATTTTAAAATGTTATATTTTTTATTTTTTATAATTTTCTCTATGTCAATATTTTTCATTAGTAACTCAAACATTTCTTCTGTAATATATTCAAAGTTCAAATAATTATGTAAAACTATATTTGAATAAATATTGTCACATATTAAATTATTTATATTTTTAATAATATAAACATTAAAAACATAAAAGATGTGTTCATTATTTATTTTTAAAAGTTTTTCAATCATGATACTTGCGTTATCTAACTTGATTAAGATATCTAATAACTGCTTTAATGGAGATTCATCGTAGCATTTAATATTTTCATCTGTCTTATCAATGTAATATTTCTTTGTTTTTTCTATAAGAAAAAATTCACAAATTAATTTATCACATTCAATATTTTTATCTTTCAATATTTCAAATAAGGTTGCTAATGTTGGAACTGAATAAGTATTATACAATAAGGGGCATATAAAATATTGATTACTACTTTCTATTATATATTTTTCACCGTTTTGTTCTTTTTCTTTTTGATTATCATAATAAATATATTGATATAAAAGATTCTTATAAATAAGAGATTCTTTAGGGTTTACAATTTCTTCAGTTATTTTTTCAATTATTTTATAAATATAATCATAAAAGATAGAATTATCATAACTTTTGTCAATATATTTCAGTTCATTTTTTGAGTTACTTTTTCTTGCTTTAGATTTTCTAAAAGTTATATTAGATATATTAATATTTAGATATCCTCCTAGTGAATATAAAAATGATCTTAAAACATGTGTTCCACATTTATCAAATATTAAAGAAAAAAGATTTTCACCTATAATGTTACAAATTTCAATAAAATAAGATGAAATATTATTATAGTTACCATTCTTTTTATTAATTTCTTCTATATATATATCTTCATATTTATTAAAAAAAGAAAATACACATATAATAGTTTGTAAAAAATGAGAAGCATAATCCGATAAAGCTAAATTTATAAAATTATTTAGAATAATTTTAAAAAAATGATTGTAAACTTCTAAACATTGAATACTTATATCCTTGTTTTTCACATTTTTTTCATTATATTTCAACAAAAAAAAACAATAAAAAATTATTTTTTCCATTATTTTTGAACATTTTCTTTGATTTATTAATTCAATTTCATTTCCCTTTATTTCATCTAATATTTTAATTAAAATACATATATCATCCTCTAAATCAAAAGAAAATTCTAAATTTATTCTGTTAAATAGCTTATTGCCTTTTTTTAAATTTTCTTCTCTTAATTCAAAGGCAAAATATTTTTCATACTTTTCATTTAATATATATGAAATATTAATTAAATATTCACTAATTTCATCTACATTATTATATTTATTCTTGTACTTTTTATCAACAATGTTGTTATTTAACTTTCTATTATTAAAATATCTGAACTTTTGACTATTTGTTCTTACTTTAAATCCATTCATTTTATATTTTTAATTTTTTTTTTTAATAAAAATGTAAAACAAAATTAAATATATAATATTGAAATTTTTAAAATTTTATTCATTTTCAAAAAAAAATAAATTAAAAGAAAAATTGTAAACTATTTAAAAAAAAATATATTTTAATAAATTTTTATTCTTCTCAAATATTTTTCAAGATGTAATTTTTAATTTTTATTTTGTTCTGTTTTTTTTTTTTTTTTTTTTTTTTTTAAATTTATTTTGTTTAATATTCTATTTATTTAAATATATATATCTAAATTTTTAATTCATATATGAGTAAAATTTATAAAATATAAATAAACC